AAAAAGACCAAAATATAAAAAATACTAAACAAAACAATTGAAAGACCAAAAAACAAAGAATTATAGAAAAGACAAAAAAATAATAATAATTAAATAATGTTGTCAGCAGCGAGAATTGCGGCTGACAACATTATTTATTCACACGCAACGGCCTACGGCAGGCCTTTGCATGTGAATTGAGGCTTTGCCTTGCCAAAAATGCAAGGCAAAACTTATCTCTATCTCCTGCGCGCGGCACGCAGGGGAATGGAACCGATATATTTATATATACTATTGATCATCGACAATTAACGATCGTAATAACGAAATCATTTATTAATATTTAATTAAGTAATATTAAAATTATTCTATATATATATATAAACGCACTAAAATGTAAAAATTATATACATATGAGAATATAATTCAATACAATCAAAAATACTAAGAAAATACACGATACAACATTACTATGTAACTGTAAACTTAGACAACTGTATTCTCCTGGGTCTCATATTTTGAAAAGTTATAATATTGCCCCATTCTCAATTTTTTCAAAAATCTCTTTCAATTACAATTGATTAAGAAATAGAGCTTAAATAGTTGAATTAAGCCCAATATCTTCTCAATTGATTTTTTTTCACTTATCCTAAATTCCTAAACATTAATTCTCAAATCACAAATCAAAACTCAATAAATTATAACCCATAACTCAATGACTCGTACAACATAAATTATTTATTCCAAATCACATATTCACCAATCATAGATAATAGATTCACAAACCACAATTCTCATTTGACTGTCAAATTGCCAATTAACTCATGAAACATAAATCATTACTCATAACTCATAACTCATAAGTGATAAGTCATAAATAAAAAATAAAACTAGTCACCAATCTGCCAAAGCCAAGAAAGAAAGAACAATAGAAGTTACAGTCTTACAAAACAATGAAGGAGAAATCGAGAAAGGTAATCGCCAGTCATTTACATCTGTCGGTGCGACAGCGACTCGGCGTGCGGCGTATGTTTTCTTCTCACTACCGTTGTCTCACTAGTCACTGTCTCAGCCCTCAGCCGATGCGTATGTTTTAATTGGCTGGGTATGTTTTCTGTTGGTATATGTTTCTTTTTTGGGCTTGGTCATTTTAGAAAAAAAGGTCCATAGGCCACATCGTAAGCCCAAACTTAAAAAAAGGAAAACAAAAATAGAAACTTTACCTCGCCTCGTTGCCTATCCGGTCTTCTTCCTTCTTCCTTCCATTGATCTAGCAGATCCCAGCATGGGTGGCCGTGCCCCGTCGCCAAATGCTAGGTCCGCCACTGCTCCCGACATACGTTAAAACTTTAGTGCATTAATCATATAAGGAAACTTGTCAATTAGTACTAATTGACATTTGTTGCATTACTTATGAGGACAAACTCCCGAAATCTTCAATAAATATGAAACTTGTTCACATTGGCAAATTTCAGTTTAGCCTTGACTTCATCATGTAATATTTAATTTATTCTGTTTCTCATCAAAATTTAGTGCTAAATCAGTTATCTTAGTCATGATTTGCAAGTATAAATCATTTACATGTTTCAAAACTTTCTAACTACATGAATGTAATGTTCAAATTATGGTCTAACTTTCTCTTCAAGTGTTTGAAGAACAAAACTTTCTACATACTTGTTGATAGTTTTTTTTTTTGTTTTCATTTCTTTAGCATTCAATTTTTATAATTTTCAAATTTGGTTTGCTTTCTGGTGTAGCCACTGGAATGGGGTACATCAAGGGAGCTCCATACACTAATATGGGTTGTGGCTAACGTGTGCAATTACCATAATAATCTCAATTGCCTAGGCAAAGATTCTTCACAAAGTTGAAGAGTCATGAAGTTTACTTTCTCACCATTTATCCCATGCAAATCTTTTTGTGTTTTCTTTTGAAAATATTTTGAATTCTACTGTTGTTTATTTATATCCTTAGAGTCTGGTAGTAGTGGCACAACAGCAGCACTGGTATCTTCTCTACCTGCTGTAAAATATCAAACGAAAACCATTACACCTTAATATGTTTGCTTCATAAATTCTCTCTAATCTCTAGCACGACAAACTTGGTCTTTAGAGGGTGTAGCAGAATTAGCAAATATCACAGATAAAATATTAGATATGACTATATAAATATTTCTAATTCATATGTTTCTAACAGGTATATTTTTTTTCTTCACTATCCTGGTCATGCTTAATCAAAGTCGTCAAAGCCTCCTCTATCTCGGCATATAATCACTACTATGTCTACCTCTTATTTTTCTTTGCTGAGATTTTCATGAAGAAATGCCACATTTAGGTCAAATGTTAAGCCAAATATGAAAAGAGATAAGTGGGCTAACACCTTAAAGCCATCTAAGTCATTTGGGTTGGCCCATGAGTAGCACTAATATGATTAGGTTACTTCAAATGGCCCAAGTAGATTACGTGATAAGTTTATTCAACAGTGGTGTCGAAACATATTCGGTCATTTGGTCGAGGCCGACTGAATAAAAGCAATACTTACATCATCGTCCAGGGAGGTCATTTAACAACAAATTTGCCTAACAAAGCTCCACATTAGTGTCAAAGGACCTGCAAAGAAGAAATTAGTAAACAGTAGTAATAATCCAGAAAGGGAGAACCAATAAAATTGGAAATCATTTACCTCCACTGATGTTTAGAAGATCTTTGCAACTTTTAAACTTCACCAACAGTAGCACC